CCCTGCGCCGCCCGCAGCCCGCTCCGGGCCGTAGAGCGCCGCGGGGTGGCCTGGCTCCGGGGCGCGCTCGCAGAAGAGGCCCAGGCCCGCGCCGCGCTCCAGGGCCGCGCACGGCCGGTAACTGTGCACCAAGTGCCGCAGGTCAGAACCCGCTAGGCCGCTCCACGAGTATGGCTTGAAGGGCAGGGGGAAGGGTTGGGCTTCGTCCAGCGACGGGCACACCGACTTCTCTGAGGCTGTGGAGGCACAAGGGGGCGTCCGGTCAGGCTTCAGACGGCGGCGCGGAGGCCGCCCAGCGGCATCTGCCAGCCGCCCAGCACTGGTGGAGTACTCCGTGCGCCAGGCGCCGCGGTAGGTGCCCTGACGCCCCCAGAGTAAAACGCGGACCGGGTCTCTGGGACCTCGAGGATCGCTGCAGGCGGCAGGGCAGCAAACGGATAATTAAAATGGCATCGGTCGAGGAGATGGGTAAATTTAGTGCCAGGGCAGCGGAAACGCACGACGTTAGGAGGGTCTTTTCTGGTGGGACCGGAGCAACTCGCGGTGCCACGAAAACAAGCGCGCCACGCCGTCTGCGCTGATAACTGCTCTGAGCTGAGCTGAGCAGGAGAAGGCGGCCCCCCTTAGGGCCCGACAGCGCTCCTGCGCAGACTGCCCAGCGCCCAGCGCCAGCACTCTCCCGGCCCCTACAGGTTCCCACTCGTCTTTTTTCTTTCCGGGATCGATAAAGAAGGAGGGAGAGGACAAATAAAATGCAGCCCGGCCTACCGAAGACATCTGTCTGGGAAAAAAACGGGGAAGTATTAACATTCCTAACAGTTCCTTCAATACCCAGTGCAAGTAGCAAAGGGACAGCGGGAGAAGGTTTGGAGCTTGAACTACCTGCCACATACTCCCCATTCTCATTCTTGTCATAGCTTGATGGTGAAAAAAACCACATTTCTCAGAGAAGAATTGACAAGGTTTAGCCACCATCTGCCAGTGCCATAGCTTTCCCACATCCGAGGCCTCTGTGCCGCTGCCCAACGTGAATTCTGCTACAACCAGACACCCAACGTATCCTTTCCCTATTTGCATACGGATTTACAAATCTGTTCCCACACTGCACACTCCAGGCTAGCCGTTTTAATGAGGATGCACCCCAAGATTCCCGCGGAGAGATTGCGCGGCACCCCGTCTTGGAGGGCGGTGTCCTGCACAGCCATGAAGAATCATGGGGTTGCAGGCTCCCAGACACATTCGCTGCAGCCATGGCTTTAGCCAGGTCAACGCACTGAGGGATGGGGTTGGGACTATCTTTTAAAACTAGTAAAGCCAATCTGGAAATAACAGGCACCTGGCAGAATGCAGCTAATGTGTGTTCTCCTTCCCCGATCAGAACCCACGACTCACTCCCACCCAAAGTGCACAAAACTTTGCGCAAAACTCCATTGCTGTCTGGAAATGTAGCCAACCGACTGGTCTCTAAGGCTGGGCCGGCCAACCCCACCGAACGAAAAATCAAACAGGCCCCCAATCCGCGCCTGCAAAAACTCAGAGGAGGGCAGAGATTTCCGGCCCGACCCCTCCCTCCCGCTTAGTGCCCAGCTCTGCCAGGCCCGATGCTTGCGGGAGCCAGAGGAATTTTTAAAGACTGCCCAGGTTTCCGTTTGAGACTCCAGCGACTGGATTTGGGGATCCTAGCTCTTTCTAAGCAGTCAACTGATCAGAAAACGAAATGTCGAGGTTGCTGCCTGTCGAGACGACTCATTTATTTTCTCTCACCCACCGTCTCCGCCAAACGAACGTTAGAGATTAACAACCCGGGTCCCGCCGCCTCGGATCCAAGCAACAGACCCCGCAAACAGGCTGACGCAGTCCCAGAAAAGCCAGATGCCTCCCCTACGGGCTCCTTACCCCACGAACACGCGCTCTCCTGTCGGAAAGACCCTCCGCCATCCATTTAGCATCTCTGAACCCAAAGCTGAGTTAGTTTACTTTTCACCGTGGGAACCCTGCTGCCCCGGCCCCAGAGCTCCCAACCGGCTCCTACCTGGAGACACAGAGGGCGACGGAGGTCTCCAGAAATCCTCAAACTCTGAGCTCCGGTCGCAGACGCTGCCCTCACAGCTGCCCGGAGATGCGGAGGCTCTGTCAGGGGCCTCAGTCATCTGTGAGTCGGGGGACAAACGACCCCGGGGCTCTGTCTTCGCCTCTCCTGCGCTCGAGGTGCTGTCTGCGGAGAGGAGGCAGGATAGGAGCTCAGGCTGAGCCCTGAATGGGGCCAATGGTTCTGAAGTGGCGCCTCCCCAACCCGTGGCACCCGGGCGTCCTCTTTTTTTCCCAGACCTGGCCGGGAACCCTTCCGGATCCGAGGGCCGGAGCAAAGAGGCCGTGGCACCTAGGCGACGAGCCCGGAAGGGACCCGGACGGTTGGAAACAAAAAAGGCAGCAAAGGAGGCTTCAGGGTCGCCCTGCCCGGCTCCTTTGGGGATGGTGTGTCAAGGCGCACAACCTACGTCCCTGGGAGCAGCCCCTCCCGGTCCGCGCGCGCCCCGCACCTGCTCCGCCTGGCGCCAGTACATTCTCCAGGCGGAGGGAATAGTCGGGTCCCGGGGAGCGCGGCTGGTGGTAACTGTGAGCCTTCTTGCTCTTGACAAGGAACGAACGCGGCATGGTGGTCCGGCGCGCTCCCCACTCCGCTGCCTGGAGCCGCCGTCAGCCCACTGTCACTTCGAATTCTTGCTCTGCCCCAGTCAGGCGGAGACCTGCCAAAAGAGAAGAACCCGGTGGAAACGCGGGTCCGCACGCTCCTGGGCCGGGGACTGGGGAGCCGGGTGGAAAGAGAGCTTCAGCCGGGGAGGAGCGAGGCAGGCCTGCGGGAGGAGGGGCTTGGCCCCGCTGCGCCGCGATCACCAGGTGGCACTCGGACAGGTGGCGCGAGCCCGCCGCCGCCGCCACAGCTCAGCGGTAAAACCCGTCCCGGGGCTGAGGCTCAGGCCTCTTCCTTCTGCTCGGCCCACACTCCTTGGCCCCTCCCCTTTCCTAGCAAAACTCGCTCCGTCAAACTCTCCGGAGAGCCGATGTCCCCAACTGGCCAGTTACCCCAACTCAACCACTCATTTGCCTGCCTGGCCTAGTTTTCGGGCTGGGGAGTAGAGCAGCGACGGGCTGATCACTCCAGGGCCGAGGGATCGGGGACCAGGAAGGGGCTACAAGCCAAGCACTCCAAGAGCCCGCTACAAACCGGAGGCGGGTGGTGGGAGAGGAGGTGCGCACTAGGCTGGCTGAGCAGAGGTTGGGAGAGAGCAGCAGAAGGGCTGAGAGCAGCAGAGGCTGGAGAAGGAAGGCAGAAGAGAAGAGGAACAGGAAGGTGGCGGGAGGGGAGATGGCAGAGGACTGACCCCGGCCCCGGGTGGAACTCGCATACCCGTGATCTCCCTCGCTCCTCAAGCCAGGAAAAGGTTGGCCTGGAGACGCGAGTGCGGCGGGGGCAAGCAGAGTCTGGGGCGAGACCTAACCTCGGAAACCAAGTCCTAGGAAAAAGCATTTTTTCGTTCTGCTCACCGAAAACCTTGTCTAGGGGAAGTCGAGCCCGACTTGTGCGCGATGGCTGTGAACTGCCCGGCGTCTGTAGTCCGCGGAGAAACAACAGATTATCCAACGCGGAGAGCGCAGGGTGCGCTGCCACGGCCAGTGCGCCGGGGTCAGGAGCGGTCCTGGGAGGGAGCTAGCTGCCCGCCGCGCCGCTCTCATTAACCCCCAATCAGTTCACCTAATCCCGGGGTCGAAACCTGAGCCCGGCGGTGAGGCGGGGCAGAGCCTCCAGCTCCGCTTGGGGCTGCTCGGGGGCGGAACCAGGCAGGCAAGGAGGTCTAGGGAACTCGAAATTTGCCTTCCTCTCGGAGTGAAGGCGATGGGCGCCGCGTTCACCTGGGAGCTGCAGGCTCTTGGGGGTACAGCAGCTCTCCATGGTCTAGGCTAGTTCAGTAACAAGGGTGCTGGGGGACCACAGGCGGGGACAAGGATCTCGTCCTTGGCCTTCGCGCGTCTTAGGCTGCCAGACTAGGAGCTACGCGGCTCTCAGAGCAGGATGCAGGACACTAAGACTACCTGTTGGCGCTCCGAGCTGAAAACGAGTTCTCAGGGACTCGTTCCCTAGAGGGCATCCCACGTCCCACTGTGGAGTGGGGACAGGCTTGGGAGAAGAGTCGTCTGGGACGTCTATCGGAATCCCAAGGGACCTTTCCGGAGTCCTAAGAGCCAGAAGGCCCCTGGGAGTGAGGGTGCCACCCGCCACGGTCTGAGTCCGCCCCTAGGATCGGGACTTCAGGAGGCTTGGGGGTGCTGGGGCTGCCCTAGGGCGCAGTCCTGCCACCACAGTTTTCCCTGGGCCTCTGCGTGAGCCGCCACTTCGGCCTTATAGACACCACAAACGCAAAAACGAATTCCTTAGGCAGCCATGAAACTCAGAGGTAAAGGAAAATGGGGCGAAACGGTCTTGAGGGCCCTGCTGAGGCTTGGGTCTGCGTCGGCGCGAGGTGGGTCGGAGGAGGTGGGGAGGCAGGGGGAATTGTCAGCGCGGGCGCAGAGCCTGCGCCGGCTGGGACCGCGCGGGATGAGGCGAGCACAGAGGCGGCCTCTCCACCCAGGCGGAGCCCCGCTCCTCTCTCGCATGCCGGGTTGGCCCTACCCGACCCTGGGAGAGTGGAGTGGGTTGGGTAGTAGGGACGAGGGCTGAGCGCGTGGGAAGGCGACCTCGCGCAGCAGCTGGCGGCGGGAGGGCGGGGCGGCCCCCTGGGCGCACGCGGGCCAGGGCCTCTCTTCACCGTCTGGGCCTGGGAAGGCGGGAGTGGAGGCACGGAGGGGCAGCCTCCTGATCGCAGTTGCCACCGCCTCCCCACCAGATGTTTCCTTCCCGGATGAATCCTGCTCCCCTGCGCCAAATCCCCTGCGGATAGGGTTCTCGGGGCTCCCGCACAGTGGCCAGCTGCAGGCGGGAACCCGGCAGCGCCCTCTGGTCGCCCCCGCAGTGGCGGTGCCCCGTTAGTCCCCGCGGCCGCCCCCACCAGGGGGGCAGGCGCAGAACGGGCGCAGCGGACCTACCTGCGGGGTCAGGGCACCGGCACTGCGCTCCGAGTTTTCAAACTGAGTTGCTTTCGGGAGACACTGCGTTCTCTCTCTCTCTCTCTCTCTCTTTTTTAATCTCCTTCCGAGCTCAGCCCCCAAAACCACAAGCCTCACTTCCTGAGCGTTAAGGAGTAGCTCTCTTAGTCCTCTCAGACCTGCCCCCCAACCCCCAGTCTGGGCGCGCTCCTTTGCGCAAGGGGCTAGGAGGCGGACCCGGGGCCTGGCCTTTCCAGCCGCCCTCCCAGGAGGTCCTCCGCGTTTTTGCTCTGTGGGGCTGCGGAGGATGGGGAGTCCCGGAGAGCCCAACACCCAGGCACTAGAAATGATTCAAAAGAAAATGAACCATTATTGGCTCTCGGGAGACTTCCGCAGCGAGAAGAAGTCACAGATTCAGGACACAGATTGAGTGGAGCGCCGGGGAGTGGGAGCGCCTAGCTCCAACGAGGCCTCCCCGCCCCTCTGCCCCGGGACACCTCCACCCCCACCCCGCCGCCTATTTGGGCTGGCCACCCCCGGGTTGAGGCCGTGAATCACCAGCCGACGCTGCCGCCGGCCTGGAGCCCGGCGAGTGGCCGCGGCGTCCGCAGAGCGAAACCTGCCCCTCTGCCCCGAAATAGCTTGTTGTGGAAACACTTCGGGATAAATACGCCCAACGAAGCTGAAAATACCTTGACACCCAATCCGAGAGGTTTGCTCATTTCCCTTCGGATTTAGGTAATGGTTAAATTTGGAAAAGGTGGGCGAGCGTCGAGCCCCCGGCGGAGAGGGCGCTGGCGGCGCGTCCCGCGGGCGCCCGGCTAGGCTGGCGGGCGCGCCCTCCCCACGCATGCTCCCCCACGCTCTGCCCCGTACCCTCCGCCCGCGGCTAATTTCCGGTGGTCGGAGCTGCGAAATTAAAGACCGCGCGGGAGGGAGCGCGCGGGGGCAGCGGCGGAGGCGGCGACGGCGGCGGCTCGGCTGACCCCGCCCCGCCCCGGCCCGCCAGGGAGAGCCGCACGTCGGGCACCTGGTCCTGAGAAGAGCAATACAGCGCCATAAAAGCGCCACCCCGATGAGTATGGAAAAAGTAAATCTTCACTCGGATTGTGTTTTCCTTGAGGATAGGCACTGGATCTTCACTCTTGGGTCCCTGATAGGCTCGTAAGAGACGTCTGTGGACTGAGTAAATGATGAAAGGAGTTAAGAATTCTATTAATAGAACAGGGGAAAATGTAAACTTCACCCATAAATAAATGCAGCAACTTCCAACGCTAGATGTCTGCCATGATCCATAGCGTGTGGCCTGTTGTGTATGCTTAAACCTAAACCCTTTCCTGACGGGGGTGGATGTCGTAATTACGTTACTTTCCTAAGTGAATTGAGCTAGATTTTGATCACAACTTCCTGCGCAGTACGTTTCCAGTGTCAGATACCGGGAGAAGGGAGTGTTGCTCCTCAGTTCTTGCAAAATAATGTACCATATTTTAGATCAAGCCAAAATTGTCATGGAAAAGTAAGGTCCTTGTAGCCCTTTGCATAGAGAGAGATGGTTGTTTTTTTTTTTTAATGATTTTTAATTTGCTTTATAAACCCAAAGATGTGCAGAAAATATTTGGTTACCATGGCAGTAGTTCAAGCATGCTTTAATAGATCAGACATTTTATATAGCAGTGGTCCTACATCTACTGTGTGCCAGGTGCTGGACTAGATACACCTTTTAATACCCTGCCTAGCTATTCTCCTTACACTACTGTTCATTTGTTCAACACGCCTTTCCTTATAATTGGTTAGCACCCAGAGGTAAGCAATCTTAATCAGAAGGGTTACAAATATTGAATAAACTGAAGAGAAAGTAAGTAATTTTGTATGTATGCTTTTAATTCTTGTATTCTTTGTCCTGGCCTAATGTATAAACATCTAAAAGCGGGCCACAATAAATCTTTCCGTTATTCCTTCCACCCTATGCAACAGTAGAAAAAGGCAAATTTTTAAAAGAAAATTATAAGTGGAACAAAAGGAAATTTATTATCAACCAAGTTCTAGAGAAACGGCTGAACCATTTCCTTTGCACATGAGCAAGTTCAAAGTCAAAATTTCTTGAAAAGGCACTGTGACTGTTTAGTACTTTAGTTGAATGCTGCTCAGAAAACATGGGGGAGGCTATAAGGGGACAAATAATCACCTTGTACAGTATCACTTGAGAATAAATCCCTTTCATTCAGATTAAATCTAGTCATCTTGCTTAGCTTGCCATTCACATCCTCTCAATTTGTAAAATAAAACTGAGGACTGGAACAGGGACACCCAGAGAAAAGCAAGCAGGAGGGAGATGGCATAGAATTTCTCTTTATAATTTAAAATTTTTTGAACCATATGTATGTGTTACCGATTCAAATAAGTACGCATAAAAATATTTGACTAGAGAGATCAGGTCATTTCCTAGATGTATAGTGTCAAAATGTAACTCCCACACTTAGGGGGAACAGAGGAGAAAAGTAAGAAGTGGGGCACCCAGAGAGGTTAAGAAACTTGCAGCTAAGAAGAGCCAGCACTGGAAATGATGATACAATGAACTTGACTTCCCACTACTTCAAACTACCTCTCATTCACCACTAAATAGAGAATGAAGAGAACAAGACACCTTCGCCCCCAAAGTGCACATTTTTAAAAGCTGGAAAGAATCCTTCCTCCAGTGTGCTCCTTTGGAACTGAAATAGATCTAATGGTAAGCAGAAGGTAGGCTTGGAGCATAATTTTCTATAATACTGGTTTTCTAAAAAGAGGATGTTAAATGTACATTTTTGTCAGTAATTTATTAATTGTTATTAAATAATAATAATAGTAATATATCTGTAGATGCTAAATAACAAATGGCGTTCTTCGTATCACAAACATTTCCAAGTCCTGGCCAGCAGCCCATTTATTTCGAGCAGCATCTCATAGAACAGAATTCCCCTACAACAAAAGATTTCAGACAAAAAAAACCCAACAAACCGTAACAAGGTATTACTAGTTTCTTGTTTATGTTTTCACAAAGCTTTACATTTACCATTTCTGTTCTATATGGGGTAGGCATAGGAAGAGTGGGGATCCTGAAATCACAGAGAAGGGCAATGCCCCCATTTCCAGCATACTTTTCTGTAATTTTTGCCTCATTTGATGTTCACGGCAATGCTGCCAGGAGGGGAAAGAGTCCAGGCTTTCTACAGACAATCACTGGTGGAAATGAGTCTCTGTTCTGCCAATTACTAGCCCTGTGACCTCGGGCAAGTTAACTGGACTCTCCAGCCTCAGCTTCTCCCCTGTAAAGTCAGAAAACTACTTACCTTGCAAGCCCATGGAGCAGCCCTTTGATTTTCACTTTCTTGAACAAGTTCGTCTGAGCACCAAGAATGGAAGAATTCTCCCAGAAAGAGTGTCCTAAGTTTAACCTTCTTGTTCCATGTCCTGCTTCAATTTATTTAACTTCGCATAAGTAAACTTCATTATAGTCATTTGCAGGGACTTGGATTTTTTTTTTTTTAAATCAAAGAGCAGAGGAGAATGAATCAAGGATCAATTTTCATTTGTAGATATTTTTAGATCTATTTAGGGGACGTTAAGTGAATAACTGTTTCAGGACTTCGTTTGCCCATCTTTAAAACAGGAGATGCCTCCCATGTGTCAAATACTATGATCTATTGGCCAAGAGTAGCTATGGAAGACATGATGACCGTAAAATCAATAAACACGTAAAAAAAATTACAGGATGGGACTGGGCATGAAGCTCCGTCATAAGCTAGACAAGAGATTTGGTGTATAAGAAGGTGATGATTTATTTTTTAACTCCATTTTTTTTACTATAAATTAAAATTCATATAATTTAATAAAGAAAAAAAAAGAAGAAACCCCAGTAAAACAACATTCCAGTATTTTTGCTCTGCTTTAAAAAAACCCACATAATTACAACCATATCATAGCTATAAAAGTGTATTCTTTTTTTCAGTGAATATTATAATCGTATTTCTTTCTGTTCTCTTTATTTTTCAGATTTCATTTAATAATAAAAATAATAACATTATTTAAATAAAAATCATGACAGTCCTTTTCCTTGCTTTAATATTATCTTTCATCATTCTCAATGGCTAAAATAGGATTCTATAATCTAGATTACTTATGATTCATGCAATCACCCCCATTGTAGTATTTAGCTTGTTTTCATTTTTTACTATTTTAAATAATACGATGGAAAGTTTTCTAGATGTAGTTCTGCCCACATTTTACGTGGTTTCTTTAGGATATATTTTGAGGGGTGGAATTTCTGGATCCAACAATGAATATTTTTAATGCCCTTGAAAATACCAGAAAAAGTGTTTTGGATAGTGTGTTTATGTAATGCATCAATCAAAAGAATTCATATCACTTGACAAATAGGTAAAGGATTATAAAAATCAACTATGGAAAAGTTAGACCTTGGTTAAAGAACAGATGTAGAACGGGTCTGTATTTTGTGCACAAGAAGTATTTGTTAGAGAGTGGCCACACCCTGTCATATTGCCATGTTTTTTCCTCTTAGTATTAAAAAATTATTTAATTTTTGTCTTTGGATTAGCTGTTTTGATGAGTATAGTCAGATAGAAATATAAGTTTTTATATATTTTCTCAGTTGTATGCATTCAAAGAAAATAAATGCAGGGCGATAATTGTGTGATGCCTTAATTCAAATGTTAGGTAATATAATTGTCTCCCTTATACTCTTACAACTGGCAGGCTACCAAAAATAAAATTCAAATGACACTGTAAGTCAAAATAAGATTAGATGGTATCATCATTTATGGAAAGTGGGTAATGCTTTTTTACTAACATACGCAAAAACTGGGAAATGGGGTAAAGGAGAAATTTGGAGATAAATTAATGTAAAACTTACACTTTGAGTAAGACCTAATCTCGTATTAATATTTGGAACCTTTTCAAACATAAAGAAAAACACAATTTTCTTTCAATAAACA